CCAGTCGCTGTGATGAAGTGTATTAGGCTGGTGAGAAGACCATGATGGTAGCTTGGAGCTACCAGGATGGCGGCCACGGAGCTCAAGAGGAGATGAATTTGGGACACACGCATTCTGGGTGAAGAGTCCGCAGGATTTGGGGGTGGAAGGGGGTTGTCGAGTGGCCAGTAGTGGTGGAAGACTGAAACGGGGCCAGGTTTTGGGAGCGACGGATTACCGTGTGCAGTGGCTTTGAACGTCCAAATGCAGATGTCTACCCCACTTCAGATCCTGAGTCTCCAGAGAGAGAGCGGGCAGAGCTGGGTGCATGAGACGGTGAATGCTGGTGACAGGTTGAGTTGTGAGGGTGGGCAAGACCGCCTGGGCCAAGGGCATGGAAAAGGAGAGAGGGTCTCAGCCCTGGCCCCAGCAGCCCTACAGATGGGAGAGAAGCTGAGGAGCGGATGAGGGGGACTGGCCAGAGAGCAGGAGCAGCAGGGGAGGGGGCTCACAGCCAGGACAGGGAGCTCTCAGCAGAGTTGCCCGGTAGGCCCTGCCCAGCCTGGAGCACCTGAGGACTGAGCGCGGCAGCCACAAGTCCCTCCTCCACTTGGCTTCCCTCCCTCCCCAGCCAGCAAGGGCGAAATCTCCTCCTGGGCCGGGTAGAACGGGAGGTGCTGGGGAGGGCCGGGAGCTGTGCTGGGCGGGGGTCAGGGAAGTTGCAGCAGAGGTGACCTCGGCACAGCCCAGGTGTGATCATCATCTGGCCCTCATTCCTGCACTCCAGCCTGGGTGGGGCTGGGGCTGGGGGTGAGGTGGTGGTTGCTGCTCCCCCATCCCATTGCGTCATCCTCAGCTGTCAGCAAACAAGACTCCAGGAGCTGGGGCTGCTGGCTGGTGGGGGGTGTCTCCCAGCACCTTGGGGGATGGGGGCTAATGTCCCCCACTCATACACACACACAGGATTTCCCTGGGATGCTCGGCTGGACCCAGCAGGTGCCCCCTAAAGAAGTGGCGCGGGAGCAGGGAGGAGTGAGGAACAGTCAGGGCTGAGTTAGAGCCCCACTCCCTCGCTTATCCAGCGGAGGCCACTGGGTGGTATCGCCTGCTGGGCCCTCCTGGGACTCCAGCCCGAGACTCACACGTGGGGAACGAGCAGCCTTGCCTTCAGCGGCGCCGCTTGGAAGCGGCCCAAATGCCCATCCACGAATGGCACAGCACACAGACAGAAAAAGCCAGGAGGGAGCTCTGTGAGGAGCAATGTAGGTCTTCAAGATGTATTTTTAAGCAAAAAAAGGCAACAGTGATGAGCGGTGAGTATAGTAGCTACCATTTGTGTAAAAAAGGAGAGAGAAGAAATTTATAGATACACGTATTTGCTTGTCTCTGCTTGTCTGTGGATGGTGACCCAGGAAGCTGGTGACATTGGCGGCTCCAGGGAGGGAAAGCAGGTGGCTGGGGACAAGGTGGGAGGAAGAACTGTCACTGTATTCCCGTTTGTGTCTTTTTGAATTTTAGAACCGTATGAATGTATTACCTGTGGGGAAATGCACATGAAGAGTTTTAAAATTAATGTGTACACATGCATATTTTCCAGAGAATGGTCATAGCATTCATAAGGTTGTCAAAAAGGACTGTGACCCCGAAAGTCTGAGAACACTTCACCTATGGGCTGCGTGGCTTTGGGAAAATTTCTTAACCTCCCTGAGTCACATCCGTAAAATGGGAAGGAATAACACCCAGCGTACAGGCATGCTGCCAAGGCGAACAGTGTGGGCAGGGGTTTGTAAACTGTAAAGTGCAGAAGACTTTCTTTTTTTATTTTTTGAGGCAGGGTCTCGCTTTGTCACCCAGGCTGGAGTGCAGTGGCACTATCACGGCTCACTGTAGCCTTGACTTCCCAGGTTGAAGCGATCCTCCTGAATAGCCGGGACTTCAGGTATGTGTCGTCATGCCTGGCTAATTTTTTAATTTTTTGTAGAGACAGGCCCTCCCTGTTACCCAGGCTCATCTTGAACTCCTGGGCTCAAGTGATCCTCCTGCCTCGGCCTCTCACAGTGTTAGGATTACAGGTGTGAGCCACCGTGCCCGGCCTGCAGCCCTTCTTGAAGGGGATGACTTACTCTCCACTCTTCCTCACCTCCTAGTCTCCCCTCAGCCCCCTCCAGGGCTCCTCTGCGCCCCCTTCCCTCTCAGCAGCTCTGATGGAGGCTCTGGACTGACCCTCGTCTTTCTCCTTGAGTCCTCCAGGCCTGAGGGTCCCTCTCCAGGTCGCCCCTTGCTCTCCTGCCTCTGGCCTCTCCATGCCTCTACACCATGCCGTGCCCAGCTCAGCCAGCCCACCTCCCTTCCCTTCTCCCCAGTCCTCCCTGTGATCTCATCCAGTCCTGTGGCTTAAAATACCACCCGGCCTGCGCCTCCCCCCCAGGCGGCCACAAGCCCACTTGGCTCCCGCTCCCTGTGTCTGCTGGACAGTAAAGAGGCATCCGGAACCCGGTACTGCCAAGCCCAAGCCATGCCCCCATCCTCCCCTCTCCTGCCTTCCCCATCTCAGTCTGTGACTCCTCCCAGGAGGTTGCTCAGGCCTGACATCTGGGCGTCATTCTCCAGCCTTCCCTAAGCCCAACCGCAATAACAGTGGGATAATAACTAACACGCACTTAGTGTTCACTGAGGGCCAAGCACTCACTGGTCCACCCCTGCAAGGCAGGTGCTATTATCATCATCCCACAGCGGACTCGGGAGCTTGCCCAAAGCAGGTGAACCTCGGGGCCCCGGATGCATCCCCTCACCCAGTCATCCATCCCAAAGAATCACATCACTATTGCAGCCCGCAGCCTCTGCCTGCCGCCTCCTCCCACAGCCTCTACCCACCTCCTGCAGTCCATCTCCACATCACTCCCTGATCAGAGCTCTTGGTCTCCCCAGGGCACTCGGGATGAATGCCTGGCCTCGGGGGAGGTCCTGCCCTCTCTGACCTCACCCCCTCCACTCCCCATCCACCGGAAGAGACCTTCCTTCCCATCCCTTTAACGCACCAAGTTTGTTCATATCGATGGGCCTTTGCACTGGCTGTTCTTTCTGGTTGAAATTCTCTTCTCCAAGACTCCACCACTCGGGCCTTCCTGCCATTCAGATCTTGACTCAAAGGCTGCCTGTCCCAAGAGGCCCCGAGGCCCGCCCTCCCCATCCAGCTCTCAGATCTTCCTGGCAGCCCTCAGCAGCCAAAACAGTTTCATTTGCAACCTCATTAAGGGCAGGAACCTTGCCTCCCTACTTCACCCCAACTCCCAGAGCCTGGCACAGAGTAGCTGCTTCATAAACATCTAACGACTGACAAGATAACCCAGCCCGTCACAATTCCCGGGAAGGGTCTAACTGGGCCATGTGACAGATCGTGACCAAGGAGAAGCTATTTTTGACACAGTAGTCAGGGAGAACTTCCTAGTGGAGGTGGCCTCTGAGCAGTGACCAGAAGACCCTCTGTGTCACTGTACAAGAGCACAGTGGCCATGAACAGAGGGGAGAGAGGACAAGATGTCAGAGGGCTCAAGTCTCTGCCTCACCCTCCACGGAGCATGGGCTTCTCTTCCCAGGTGTCCCCCAGGTGTCAGGGGCTCGGGGGAGGATGTCCTGGCTTCACCCAAGAATGGGTGGCAGGGACATGTGTACAGGACCTAGTGGGAGAAGGCACGGCGGACAGAGGCCTCAGAAGGACCAGAGACAGCAGGAGGAAGAGTCAGCCCCTGCCCATGACCCAATGCTGGGCCACAGCCCCAAGGGACTGTCACTAACAGAATGCCTGCCATCGGAGCTTGCAGTGAGCTGAGATCCGACCACTGCACTCCAGCCTACGCGACAGAGCGTGACTCCGTCTCAAAAAAAAAAAACAAAACAAAACAGAATGCCTGCCATGGGGGAGCCACGGGCTGCGTGCACCTCTTTACTTCTGACCACCTCCCCACTGGCTCCTCAGGCCAGAGAACCTCCAGCTCCAGCCAACCCCCATCCATCCATTCATTCATCACCCTAAACGTCCCCTGAGCTGGCATAGGATCTGCCTTCCTGCCAGGTGCCAGATGTGTCTCAACACAGCAGAGTGCCTTGCCTCGGAGGGCGCTCTGTAAATAATTGAGTGAACATTTATTGAGCACCTACTGTATGCTGAAGGGAAGCAGGTAAGTCACAAACCTGCTTTGCTGAGCTCCATGCACCCATGTGTGCATACATGGGTGTGTGTGCGTGAAAAGGCCTAGAGAGAAGGTCCCAGGAAGATGGGGGCAAGCAGGAGAGCACAAGGACAGAGCAGGGCTGGGCCTGGGCTGAGCGGAAAGCAGGGAATTTGGCCCGGCCTGGGACATAGGCCCTGGGGAGAGGTGGTGACTCTGGAGGAGTGTGCGGCCCTGGACCTGGGTGGTCCACTGAGCAAGGGACAGGCTACTTCTGAGGGCAGGACAGCAGCATCCTGGAAGTCGTGGCACTTACATCTTTAGGAACCAAACATCCAGGGAAATAGGAACCTGTGCATCAGAGCTCTATGTGGCACCTCCTGGATTTCTATACAGGACAGTAGCTTTCAAGCTTTTTGACCAAAATCCGCAGTAAAAGCAAACATCCTGTTTGTTATTTTAACGTACTTTATATTTATTTTTTAGATATAGAGTCTTGCTCCAATGCCCAGGCTGGAGTGCAGTGATGCGATCACAGCTCAGTTGCAACCTTCTGGGCTCTTGCCATCCTCCCGCCTCGGCCTCCCAACGTGCTGGGATTACAGGCGTGAGCCATTGCACCCGGTTATATATTTAAAGCTGAAGTAAGAGCGTCACAAAATAGTATTTACCCTCACTACATGCATAGTATTTTGAAATTTTCTTTTTAATTTCATTTTCAGAAAACAAGTAGTGCAACTCACTAAATCAATTTCCCAGCCCACTAATGGGGCAGGACCTGTGTGCAATTTTTAAAGCACTGGCCTGAGTGGGGGTTAGGAGCTGTGAAACGGGATCCAGCGTGTGTCTTGAAGCTGTGACTGGAGGTGCTTGGACCCCGGGCTTTGTGACGCACAACCATGGGGGCAATTGTTGGATGTAACGGGCAAATACTGGGAAAAGTCTGTTAGACCCCCCAGCTCACAGGACTGCCACTCTGCAACCCAAATAGCAGGGATTCTTTAGGTTCTGGGTCCAATTTATTCCCCTGGTCTTGTATTAGAGCCCCGCCTGCCCCCCAACAGAGGCCATTGAGCAGTTGCTTACACATCTCCCAGGACAGGGCGCTCACCCTCATCTCAGGCAGCCTACTTGACCGTGAGGAGTGGGCTCTGCCCGGCTGCTGATGTAGCTGCCAAGCGGAGCCCCTCCTGTGGCTGGCTGGTCGTTCTCCTCTGTCCTCTAGCCTGCTGTCTCAGGGACCCAGGACAGCTCTGGCAAGCAGTTCTCTCTCTGCCCCACCCAGTTCTCTCTGCTGCCCAGCCACTACCCGGTATCTCTTGGGGGCAGCCTTGGAGCCCAGCCAGAGACAGGCCCTTTCCAAGGTCAAGTGGGCTCAGGCTCTGCAGCCTCATGACGGGGCTGGCACTCAGCCAGCCCTGCCCCACCCAAGCAGTTCTGGAGGCCTCGGGGAGGGAGGGCCGGGGGAGGCTTGGCTGTTCAGAGAAGTGATACCCCATAGCAGTGGCTGGTGATGGGGGTCTGGAAATCAGGCCCATCAGTGCCCTTGAGTGGCTGGGCCACAAAGTAGTTCATATCAACAAGCTGTGATACATTCATTCACTCACAGGCTCACAGGATCTTCCCAGTCACCCTCAGAAACAAACACAAAGGGCCAGGCGCGGTGGCTCATACCTACAATCCCAGCGCTTTGGGAGGCTGAGGTGGATGGATCACACGAGGTCAGGAGTTCAAGACCAGCCTGGCCCACATGGTAAAACCCTGTCTCTACTAAAAATGCAAAAATTAGCCCGGCATGGTGGTGCGCACTTGTAGTCCCAGCTACTCGGGAGGCTGAGGCAAGAGAATCACTTGAACCAGGAGGCGGAGGTTGCAGTAAGCTGAGATTGCGCCACTGCACTCTAGCTTGGGCAACAGAGCGAGACTCCATCTCAAAAAAAAAACAAAGGAAAGAAACAGAGGCAAAAGTCCACCCTTACGGGGCAGGGGATGAAGGCTCAGAGGTGAAAAAGCTGCCCCAGATTCCACAGCTGCTCAGGGGTGGAGCTGGACAGGAACCCAGATCTTCTGTGTCCCAGTCATGGGCCTTACCTGGGACAACTGAGGCTGGAGGAGCCTTGGGGTAGGGGAGGGGGAGGCGGGCCACTCCTCCTGTCTTGCTGAGAGCAGGCTGGGTCTCTCTGCCCCAGAGGCAGGGCGAAGGACAGAGGGAGGCAGGGATCAATCAGCAGAGCCTTCCAGACGGGAGTGGGCTTCCCCGGAGATGGGGAGCTCCCCGTGAGGAACAGTGAGGAGGGACTTGAGGCCCATTTGTCAGGATAACTGCAGAAGGGTATCCATGGGCGCGAGGTTTGAAGGATGCCCAAAGCCCCTCTGCCTGCTCCATTTCACCCCCAGCCAGGGCCCCTCCAGCCCGTGCCCACCACCTCCCCTGTATGGCCCCAAGGAGCCCCTAATTGCCGACGCCATCCCATCTGTCTCCCAGGCTGAATGGTACCTTCACACTCACAGGGCAGAGGGTCCTGGGCTTCTCAGGCCTATGTGGAGAGGGGAGGCTTCTGGGGGAGTCTAGGGTGGGGGCTGGAAGAGGAGCTGCAGCAGGGTGGGGAAAGCTTCACTGAAGTGTCCCAGGGGCTAACTCTGCCACCAGCTTGAAGATGGGCACGCCCTTCACCTAGGCCTGAATCTCCCCATCAGTAAAATGGGGTCAGCTCCCCACAGCACACGCACCCCTGACCCCATGGCCTAGCTAAAGAACCCTCCTGGCCGGGTGCAGTGGCTCACCCCTGTAATCCCAGCACTTTGGGAGGCTGAGGCAGGCAGATCACAAGGTCAGGAGTTCAAGACCAGCCTGACCAACACGGTGAAACCTCGTCTCTACTAAAAATACAAAAATTAGCTGGGCGTGGTGGCAGACGCCTGTAGTCCCAGTTACTCAGGAGGCTGAGGCGGAAGAATCACTTGAATCTGGGAGGCGGAGGTTGCAGTGAGCCGAGATTGTACCACTGCACTCCAGCCTGAGAGACACAGTGAGACTCCATCACAAACAAACAAACAAAAAACAAAAAAAACCCTCCCATCCCTGCAGCCTAGGTCGCTGGCGCATGAGCTTCTCCCAGGACAGGCAAAACAGGAAAAGGCTGAACACGCCCCCCTATCCCCATGGGTGGCCCCCGATACACAGAGGGGCAAAGAGAGGCCCCCAGATGAACAGTGGCCTAGCCGAGGTCACGCGGAGCCAGTGAGGGCTGAGCTGGGATTCGATCCCAGGCCCCTGACTCAGGCCACCCTTCCTACTGCTGTGACCAGGGGCTGCTGCCCTTCCCCTCGCTCCCATCTGGGGATTTTCTTGGGAGAGGGCGCTTAAAGAGGCCCAGACCCCGCTCCCCTCCCCCAAACCCCATAGCTCTGGGGAGTGTCAGAGAGAGGAGGGGCCGGCAGCCCTGGGGGCCATCAGGACACAGAAGAGTCAGGAGCAGCTCCGGGTTGACAGGCTCTGCCTCCATTGCTGTGTGACCCTGGGCAAACCCCGGTGGTCTCTGGACTCGGTTTCTCCATCTCCCAGGAGAGGTAATGGAGATAAGGCCAATGCAGGGGCAGACAGGAACTGCTGGGTGGAGCTTGGTGGGGGCTTCTCCTCCATCCCAGTCCCAGGGAGCTCCTCCGCCCAACTGCACCTCCCATGCCCCATCTCCCCTCTGCCCTGCTGGGGGCCTCCCACTGGGCCCGCACAGGCCTAGACCAAAGCTCCCAGCTGATAGGTCACCATGACAACGCTGCCTTCTCCCTTCACAGCTCCTGCTGGGGTCGGGAACACCAAGGACCCCCTTCCCTGGTAGCCCCTAAAGACCTCTTGACCTGCCAATGTCTCTCTGGAGCACCTCACCCTCCCCTGCCTGCCGAAGCCAGACGTCCCAGCTGTTGGCA